TCAACGTTTCGCTTGCTTTTCTTCGCACGGTGAGTTGGCTGTCTGTGACATTCACAGTGTTTGGGCGGTTTTGCTGGTAATTTTGAATGAGGTAGAAGTTTGTCCACTATTTGCAGCGTTGCGTGTGTTTTGTCATATGCAACACATACGCAACATGCACGCAACATGGCGTGTTGCGCGGCCACGCAACGCTGTAATTTACGATGTTTCGCGCTTCTTCCGCTCATGGGACGTAAAAAAGGTAGAACTCCATTTAAAAGACTGGCTGTCCCGAAAATGCGCGGAAAAAGCGCGAAACATTGTAAATTACAGCGTTGCGTGGCTGCGCAACACGCCATGTTGCGTGCATGTTGCGTATGTGTTGCGCATGACAAAACCCACGCAACGCTGTGAGGGGTGCAAAATTTTGAAATGTCTGTGAACATTGTCACATTTTCCTTGGTCGACGCTTAACAGACGGCAGAACGCCGCAACGGCAGTCTTTACCTTGTATAGTGGCACAGCACCTTTTTCTTTTGGCGCGGATGGCAGCTTGGTTCCAGCCACGGTTTCAGCCCGATCTATGTCAATCCGATATCCTTTGCCTTCGGTGCCAACGCTACGATTCTAATTAATCCTAGCTTAGGATGGGCGCAGGATGAGAAGAATGATTAGGATGTGCTTCATATAATCTCTGTGAGCTCCATATGTGCCAAATATGTCCAGTCAGTGATGTGCCATATCTTTGCATAGAGGTACATGTGCAAACATTCTCATTTATGCTTTCTGTCTGCCGGGGCTTTCTGTTGGAAGAGTCTTCGCATCTCAGGCTTGAAAGTAAGCCTTTGCAAGAGAGGAGAAGGCAAGGGCAAACCCTTCACCCCATAGACTCTTAGCGCTTCCCAATTTATTATCAGAAGCTTGCGGAGGAAGTTCTTTCCCTGTAGAAATAACCTTGTAATTTTAATTTGGGCGAAACCTCCTCCGCGTATTTTCCATTGCAAATGCCATGTGATTTTGCGATTGCTCCTCCGCAAGGGTTCACTCCAAACCTACTCCGCACATGGTTTACAATCAGAACTAGCGCGTTGGTTTGCTGTAAAACTTCCTCCGCTGATGTCCTATGAGTCAGTGGTTTTGGTTCAAGATGGTAGCGTTCCTTGGCCGTATCTTTCTCGTCCAGCTTCTTCTTCTGATTCTGTCCTGGCTTTAGGTTGCGGCGCCTTACGCTCTCTTTTTTCCTTTGTAAATTCCGTGGGCTTCTGCCTGGCTCCCTTTGGACCCCAGCTTGGCAATGTTGAGGACGCGCGTAGCAAGAGAAATCCTTGTATGCTTTGTTTCCTCCCTTACAAATCAACATTGCTTAAAAGGGGCAGGGGGGACGCCAGCATTTTCGCCACGATTCTCAGAATGTCTCCACAGCGAAACTTTGTTCCCCTGTTTCACTGGTCCGCTGAGCAAATTGCTCCACTGTTTGAACATATGCAGCCTGCAGGTGTTGGATACTGGCAATTTCACATTTTGCATCTTCCAATGAAAGGATGCTTGCAGCGAACTCTGCCACCCAAGGATGCAATAAAGTAGCAAGAAGCGGCCGCAAGATTGAGCAAAATGAGGTTCCAAAACCAGGGCCTCAAAACAGGCAGTTTTGCGGTGACGCATGGGCGTACCCCCATGGTCGCAAGCATGCTGTTGATTTTCCCATGCGTGAGACTTGACTGTGTATCTTCTGCAAGTAAAACATGTCTTGACTATGTTTGGTCTGCGAATGTATTCATGCTCTCTGTTTGAGCAATTTTGCCCGCCCAAGTTTCTCTTCCTTCTTTGGTTGAAAGCTGTTGGTTTCGGGTTCCATTTTTGGGCACCGTTTTGGGCCCCTACAATTACAAACAAAATCCAGGGCCCCAAAACCGCGCCCAAAATGGAACCAAAACAAGAACCAAAATATGACCCAAATCAAGATCAAGACCCAAAATGCAATCCGGGGCCCCTTTTTTCCCACCATTCGCCAGCGATCGGATTCAATTGTGCAACAAACCAACAACTTCAACCAAAGAAGGAAGGGAAACTTGGGCGGGCAAAATTGCTCAAACAGAGAGCATGAATACATTCGCAGACCAAACATAGTCAAGACATGTTTTACTTGCAGAAGATACACAGTCAAGTCTCACGCATGGGAAAATCAACAGCATGCTTGCTACGGTAGTAGTGGCTATTGCCGGGATAAAAGTGCATGAGAAGGAAAAACAGCAGAGGCAGAACCTGAAGAGATGGTTGAGCTGTGTTGGGTAGGGTTCCTAGCAAGCTGACAGACTTTACTGCAAGAGCCGTCGCAACTGGGCACCCTAGAGGCTTGGATGTTGATGAAGCCATACGGGAAGTGATCAAGCTAAACTTGGTTGATACCCTCTTTTGTTCTTGCGAGAAGAGTGGATATTATGAAAAATGGACTGTTAGGGCAAAGGAACTGTCTTGCGAAGAGGAAAAACTAAGAAAACAGATATTCTCCTGGGTTTTGGGACAGAAGCGGCTTGTTTTATTGGTGAGATGCTTGAGGACAGCCATTTGGAAGGAGACGGAATCTGAATTGGAAAAATGCTGGATGTTCAAACTTCACTCTGTTGATTTTTGGCTGCGATACTTGGATTTGCTTAGAAGCTTTGCCTTACAACGGACGTATGACTTGCGTTCGGCTTACAAACGGGGCACCTTGCGAATAGGCTTCCCTCGCCTCCATAGTGTGCCTTTCGCCGCTGACTGGCTCCCATTTTTTGTCCGGCAATTGGTGAAGAATTGCTCCGAAGTGGTGTCCTGCAGCCGGTGTCGGAGAAGGAAACTGTTGTCCTAGGTGGAGATTCGGTACTATGGAAACAGACATGCTCTTTTGTCAGTGTTTTGCAGGCCCCATGGGGGGCTCCGCTGCGGGCTACTTACTTTGGTGCCTTGTTGTGTGAGTTCCACAATGGAACCGCTTGGATACGCTCCGTGGAAAGGGGCTTATGAAGACCCATTTTCCTGTAGCGGCTGAAGATCTATTGAGTGGAATCTGAGAGACTGTTGGTAGCACGTGGTTTGCGTAGTGAATGTTTTCTTTTTCCTGAGTGTAGCTAGCCAAAGTGGATTGCCTCAAGCTACGCACTGCATTTTCTCAATTTAAGGTTTTGTTTCTTGTCGGGTCATTTTCGTCAGTTTGGCGGAGTTATACTATCTGCTGCGATTTCTGCCACCTAGTTGATTTCGCTAGGATAGGCGATAGGCTTTCCTTGATGGTTAGCCATGGTGCACGACACTGTGAAGTATTGTGGTTGTCTTGTTGGGTTCCGGCCCCGTTGGTTGTTGCTTTTCGTTTGGGAAGCGACAAAACGCAATCCTGGCTGGAGGAATTGCGGGTATTCGGCTTCCCGGTTACTTTCGTTCTTGTTTTCTGGTGGATGCTCTGACGGTGCAATCCGTTTTGATCAGCTGTTGCGAGCTGAATGCAATTTGTTCACTCTCAATTAAATGCTCCCTGAGGCGTTTCGCTGCTTTTATGTATAATAAGGACCGTGCCACAAGAGCATGGCGGCCGCATTCCGAGGAAAACAAAAGTCCGGGCCACCTTGCGAATGGGGGTCAATGTTCCTGACGCTGACCATTTTGCAGTCATAGGATTCAACTCGCTTCCCTTCGGTGCACTGGGTTCAGTGGCGGGGTTCCCACGGGTTAGCCAAGCCATTTGGTTTGTGGGCTACTTTGGTTTGGGTCTGTTGTGGAGTGCCTTCTACGACGACTACACCCTGCTATCAAGGATGGAGCTTGAAGGTAGTAGCAGTTGGGCATGTGAGTCACTGTTCAACCTGTTGGGAACGCAATACACGACAGAGGGGCGCAAATGCTTGCCCTTCGACACCAAGTTCAAAATCTTAGGATTTGAGGTTGATACCATGCAATTCCAAGAGGGACACGTCCTTTTGGGGCACACTAAAAGCAGAAGAGAAGAACTTCATGGTTAATTGAGTATTGGGTGTTTTTCTGCAGAACAACACCCCGGGTTCTAAAGATGCTGAGCGGCTGCGTGGTCGAATGATAAGGGCATTGGGTCGCACCGCTTTCAATCAAACATGCGAGGTTTGGGCATGGGCACAAAAACAGGGCTGGGCGTATTGTGCAAATCAGCGGCAGTCACCGTCGTTTCCAGCGAAATTGAAGCCAGTAAAGTGTGCATGCGTGCTGTTGTTGCGAATGTGGCAATTGCACGCATGTTAATGATTGTGTGCTGTTTCTTGTTGGTTTTCTGATCGAAACATTGTGCCGTTAGGATGCGGTAGGAGAAAAACCAGCGTGTATGTTCTGAGTTTTGAGAGTGATTTTTTTCCGTTTAACATTTGCACGACTGAATGCAACACGTCACATGTCGATGCGGTGTATGACAATGAAACAAAACAACATGCCCACAGGTTTGTGTTTATTCTTTTGTGATTTAATCATTCTCATTGATTTGTGTTGAACGACCAACGACTTGAAGTGGACCTTGGACAATTTGATGCCTAGATTCTTTTGGATATTTTTTTCAGATGTCAACACATGAACAGTTACAGTTTCAAGGTACGTGAGTTGTTCCATTTTGATTTTGGACGGCTGGCTCGAGGTGCTTCTACAACGCGACGAACATTGGCAATTTTGGCATTTTTTTTTGCGTGTATGACACATGACCGAAAATATCACAGGCAGGATCCTTTCTATCTATCCGCATTGGCGAGAGCGACTTTGACATTTGACGTACCTTGTAATGCCAGGTTGTTGTTTCGACAATGAATGGCAAAAATATGGAATGCGGGGCTTCATTGTGCGGGACACTGCAGGTGTTTCACATATATACAATTTCGCATTTACGCGTTGCTTCAACAATTGCAAAAAAAATGTGGTATTTAAGCCAAACTATATAATTTGACATATGTCACTAGAAAATGAAATTTGCATCTTTTCATTTCAGATGTTGTGGCATGATCCAGACTTATGAACACTTTTGTTTTGAAACCACCGCATGAGTTACGCCAACCGGGTGCAATGACAACAGAGAGTTTCCGGAAAGATGTGGCGAAAAAATTGCCACATTCTTAGCGCCTCAGGGAATGCGAAAACGCACAAACCTCTTGCATTGTCCTTGAATTGCTTAAAGTGGAACTTGGTAGTGCAACCAAAGTCCGTATGGTACATTCCTAAGTGAAATGTTTGTGTTCAAATCATTGGTAGGCCAAATCAAACATTGTGAAGGCGATTCAACGAATCGATTTTAAAGAAACATATTTTGATGCAATTCTAAATTCTGGCGAAATTTCAGTGTATTTGTGTTTGTTGGCTAATATATGCACCGCTGTTCAAATATATTCGCAAGGTTTGCTAGCTTCGTGCGATGGACATTTGACAGCGGGTAAATAATAATAATAATAACAACTTTTACTAAGCGTTGAACAAAAAACAAAACTTAACTGCTGTGCATTGCTTGGCGCATCGGGCCTTTCCGTGGTAAAATTCTACCACTCAATGGACTCAACGGCATCCGCTAGGTCAGACCTTCAGTCAAGCTCAGATGAGGTCAAGGGCCCTTGTGCACTTCGCGAAACCAGTGGAGTAGATTGAGATCTTGCAGATTCATATTTATGTCAGGTAATTGTATGCTTAATTTTGAATGTCAATTGTTGCTGAACCCTGGGCAAAATTATCATACACAACTGGCATCAACTTTTTGGTGGTCAGGATGCGAAAATTGACTTCCCGAGTGACCTGACATCGTCAGCCCGGATCCTGGGATCAGACCTGCATCAGTGCATAAAAGGAGGATGATTGGCGAAAGGAAATCTCACAAGGATGTAAATAGTGTAGATAACGCATAATGCTATTTCCATTTGTTGTCGCCCGTGGCCCGTGACCGGCTCTAAGGACAGGAAGTACATCCATAAAATTGCCGAATCTTTTCGCTTGCACACTTTGCAGCACCCTTAGTTTCCTTGGTTGACACCATACAGGTTTGTCCGAACTGGCTACCCTATTTCATGTTCACCTTATGTTTATTCTTATGGAATTTCTGTTTGAAGAAACATTATTTTTTGCCCATTAGAATTTCGGGTACAAGCCCGTGGTGCCTTGGAGGTTGCAGGGCCAAACCCCCTTTAGGTCCAGTGGCACTGGAGATGCTCGGTTCATCTCGGTGTACAAAAATCCACCAGCAGGCTGTGGTGTGGCCATGGTGCGTGACTGGTAGATCATGGCCATGGTTATGGGGTTATGGGGAATGATTCACCCGAAATAGATGTTATTACTCCAGTGTGTGGAAATTCCCACCAACACAATTTTGCGATTTGGGGTTATTGCAATCTATACCCAGCCATTTCATTGCTGGGTTTATCATGGATTACCACCTTAGATCGCTCGAAATGAGATGGTTCAAATTGCGCCAGGGCAAGAGCCCAAAAGACCGAGAGAGGCAGCAGGAGCCACACCACAACTGAGTCTTTCGTCGGAACCTCAGCCAGGAACCTCCGCCATTGTGACAGCCACCCTGTTGTGACAGCCAGGGCAGCTGCTTCACAGAATCTGCAAATCGCAGGAAACCCAGACCCACTGGGAGTTGTTGGAAATTACAGGGTCATGGATGTCATGGGATCTTGAGATATCTTGAGCCTTGGAGGCCAATACCTGGCCTGTGTTTCTTGAACAGTCAACCGTCAGCAGAAAATTATAGTTTCAAAGGTCTTTGCATTCAGCGATGCGAGCAGAACATGTCTGCGTACTGTAGCAGGTCTGTGTATAGCAGGGCGTAGCACCTGGAGCCAGGACCACCTGAGGACCACCAGCCACCCATGCCATGTTGGCCATGCCATGTTGGCTCAGTCAGTTGGGAGCCTGCCATGATGCAGCAGCCCCAAGAGGTGGCCAAGGAGCTCCTGGATTTGGCGGACCTGTTTCCAAAATGACCTTGGCTATCCTTAGTTATCCTTAGTCATGCTTAGTTATCCTTAGTTCAGGATTGTAACATATTTTTTCCCCAGATAAACTGACCCACCTGCAGTTTTTCTTGGACATCCCTGCATTTTCCGGCCTGGGGTGAGCAGAGGAGGCAGTCCCAAGCAGCTCGCAGGAGTGCCTTATCAAAGGGTTGCAGGCGCACATCAGCTTTCTGCAAGATTGTCTACTGGACCCTGGCGATGGACAACAGCAGGCCCCTGCTGCCATCTGCGGTGAGGAAAGGTAGACAATTGACAGGCAATTCCTTGAATGCATGCAGTTTCTACATCCGGACATATCCGTAGATATTTTTCAAGCTTGATAAAACTCTCCTAATAATTTCTCAAGAACCCAGTGACCACTTCAATTTTCTCCGGCCAAGAAGGCCTGGGCTATAGAAACTTGTGCCACGCGCATAGGTCGAAAGGCTCCTGGAAGAGGAAAGGAAGAGGAGTGGGGGTTGGGATAAATGGTGGGTTTCCTCCAAACAATATCACCTGAACATAGTCAAGAGTCAAAACAATGAATTTCTTGGAAACGTATGGGTCTGTGGGTCACTGCACGCTGGAATCGCTTCACTCTGGAACCCCCTGACATATGCAGCTGGCGATGGAGATGTCACCCATAGATGGTGACCCATCATTCCTCAGGAGTGGCGGACTCCTCAAGCTCCTAGAGATGAAATCCTTGCTCTGTGAGGTGCTGTTTCGTGTGGATGATGGGAGGTTGATGGCCAGGAAGGGGATTTGTTTCAAGTAAGTGGAGTACGCGGAATGAACCAATGATTTACTTGTTTCCATTTCAAGTTGATTGACTTGGTTTCCACCCTTTACTTTCCTTGACCAGGGCTCCTTTGCAAGCGAAACGCAGCTCTGAACAGCATGTGCATAAATCTGCCCCAATGCAGTTCAGTGTGTTTCGTGGCGTCAAGAATGCAGGATTTGGCTGCTCGAAATCAAAGCCTTGAAGCAAAACTTTTGCTGAAAGAACAAGAGCTAGCAGCACTTGCTGCCCTAGCGGCAAAGGAAAAGAGGCTCGGGCCACGGACTAGACACATTGTGTTGCGGAGTGTTTTAACTGAACGCGTGGACTGCTTGGCTCGCTTGGACAGGAGATTTGAATATGCAAGATTGTGAAAATCCTCTCATGCAACATATTTTCTACTTTTGTTTTTCTCATTTTTTCTGACTCAGGGCCCTTCCTTCCTGCATGAGTTGAGTGTTTTGAGATCAAAAATTATAGGACCGGATAACCCCACATGTTACCAACTTCTCTAGACTTAGACTGAGGATAGAAAAGCAAGAAGGGAAGAGGAAGTATAAGAGTGATGTAGGGGTGAAGGTGGGTGAGTTTGTGTGTGTGTGTACACCGTTATAACAAACGGTTTAGTTCTGTATATCGCACTCGTACAATTCTCATAAAGCAGGGGGCAGAGGTGCCCATGTCACTTCCTCTGCCAACGAAGCTGGGTGACATGTGGTAAGGATATAGGTCAGGGACGCCTGACCTACGTACCTGCTATGGTTCAAACTGTTGACCTTCTGTTTCTGTTCATGAGCTGTACGTTGTTTCTTCGATCGCGATTCCGTGGCCGTTGCAACACTACTGCCAGGTAACCCAGGAAAGCAGGCGAAACCTATGACATCATTAAAACGTTCCACTCACCATTACCCCACAGTGTGTTACGGGTGTTTGACCTCAATTGGTCGCACCGTCGGTTGGTTTCGACCAATCAAAAAGTTATGAGCGGGCATTTTCCCATATTCAGAGTGGAGTATGAATCTCCGAAGCCGTATGCACTTCGAGTGCATCTCAAGCGTCACCTGACGAAGTCAAGATTTTACACTGTAAAATCCAATCGAAGCAGCCATAAGGCGAAGAAGCCATAAGGCAGAAGTTTCGTCCAAGTAGGACAAAGTAGACATAAGTCGAAGTTCTCCGCACCACGGGTGCAATACAAGTGCTTAGCGTGCAAGCAGCGAACGTTCGATTTGGTCGGAGTCTCAATAGCATTTTCACCTCACTCGTCATCGTCATCAGGTTCTTTTTAGGCCATGTATTCATTCTCTTAGGCAGGCTCCTTAGGTTTGTTTTACCAGGTATAGAACATGGTTCAACGTTTTGTTTCTCACATCACTCGTCATCGTCATCAGGTTCTTTTTGGGCCATGTATTCATTCTCTTAGGCAGGCTCCTTAGGTCAGATTTACTAGGTTACTAGGTATAGAACATGGTTCAACGTTTTGTTTCTCACACCACTCATCATCGTCATCAGGTTCTGTTTAGGCCATGTATTCATTCTCTTAGGCAGGCTTCTTAGGTTACATTTACTAGGTAAAAAAACAGTCTTGTGCATCGTCTTAACTTTGAACTAAAACGTAACGCAATCGCACACGCACTTTTCTGCAATGTCAGGATTTACGACTTTTAGAACATGGTTTCACTTGTTGTTTCTCACATCATTCGTCATCGTCATTAGGTTCTTTTTAGGCCAGGTATTCATTCTCTTAGGCAGGCTCCTTAGGTTAGAGTTTCTAGGTACAAAATTGGCGCTTTGCGGTCTTGCCCCACTTCGGGGCCATTGTGTGTGTGTACACCGTTATAACAAACGGTTTAGTTCTGTATATCGCACTCGTACAATTCTCATAAAGCAGGGGGCAGAGGTGCCCATGTCACTTCCTCTGCCAACGAAGCTGGGTGACATGTGGTAAGGATATAGGTCAGGGACGCCTGACCTACGTACCTGCTACGGTTTAAACTGTTGACCTTCTGTTTCTGTTCATGAGCTGTACGTTGTTTCTTCGATCGCGATTCCGTGGCCGTTGCAACACTACTGCCAGGTAACCCAGGAAAGCAGGCGAAACCTATGACATCATTAAAATGTTCCACTCACCATTACCCCACAGTGTGTATGTATGTGCATGCACAGGTGAGTGAATGAGAGTGTGAGTGAGTGAGTGAGTGGGTGGGTGGGTGAGTGAGTGACCGAGTGAGCAAGGGAAGAGGAAGTATGATAGTGATGGAAGGGCGATATAGCAGAGACAGGACAGAGGAGGAGATAAAGTGCAAGTGCGTGCAGCTCAGCATAGCAGCAGCCAGGATAGAAGGGCGAAGCAAGAACATGATTTTTCTAGATGTTTGTGTAAAACATGGTGTTTCTGTGAAACATTTAAAACACGTTTTTTTTCTGTGAATCAGCGTTTTGTTTAGTAGGAAGATGCGCTTTTACACAAAGCATAGTGTTTGCGTGAACCAGGGTTTGAATTTAAACCGAAGCAGTGTGTGAACCAAGGTTTTTCGAAAAGGCCATACATAGAAAGGTTGCGCGTGTAAATGTTCTGCACAAAAGCAAGTGGATTGACAGGCCACCTGTATGAGGTATAGGAACGTAGAAGGTGTAAGAATGACAGAGCAAACCGATCGCGAGCACCACAATGGAAATGGGAACAAAAAGAACATGCGCATGTTGCGCGAGGCGTGGGCAGAGTCGAACCCAGCACATTGCAACGGAGGACACAGAGGAAAAACACGAAGAGGAGACACAAAACATGGGTTTTGCGTAAACCGGGGTTTGAGTTGAAACCGAGTCATGTCTGTAAACAAAGGGTGAAACGAAAGATGAAAAGCGCGACGCGGATGATGAAACAATTGGGAAGATCTTCCAAAATGGAACTTGTGATGGAAACATTGATTTCCACTGGAAGCTTCGCACCCGCTTCTGACGATTTTCTTTGGTTCCTCCATGGGATTTGTCTTTTTGAGCAAAAGCGATTGGCTTCCATTTTTTCAAACTTTTTGGTATGTGCAAGCGCAACAACATATTCTATCAACGCAACATCAAACTTAAGTTCGCGCACGTTAACAACATGTGCAAGGGCAGCAACATATTCTATGAACGTAACATTAAACTTGTGTTCGCACACGTTAACAACATGTGTAAACGTAGCAACATACCCTATATGAACGAAACATCAGATTTATGTTTGCTAACGTAGCAACATATTTTCTTTTAGGTAGCATGCCAAAGGACGTTATTATTCCCACCCCACCCCACCTCATCTCTAACGTAGCATCATGTAGGTGTGCAAGCGTCAAGGAACGATATTAGCCCCATCCCACCCCACCCCACCCCACTCCACCGTACCATGACCGAATCATACCTCGCACAACATCGAAGTATTCGACAGCAAAAAATAACAACCCTTCTGGGGTGGCGAGTCAGCCGATAGCCACGAAATCTCCATACCTCTTCAAAATTAGGAAAAAACAAACTCTCACTGTTGTGAAGAACCCTTATTCGTTTCGCAGGATCTTAAGAGTTTCATCAGCATTGCCTTTTGCAGCATTCTGGTTGGGTCCCTCTTCCATTTCTAAAGATCCCGGAGTTGGTTTGAGGGAAAATCTGCAGCAACCCCTGCGAAGGGGAGGATAAAAACAGATAAAAACCCGTGGTTCCTATAGATTTCCCCCAAACCAACCCATTGAAAGGACACTTCAGTCGCTATCGCCGCAGGGTTTGGGATGACGACCGCACCACAGTGGCCTCTGGGGGGTTTTCCTCTGCCAGATCCAGTGCTACTGAGGAGGATAGGGCTGGGAGGCTTGGAACATTGTGACAGTGTGGGTGGACCCAGATTTTTGGGAAGGTCTGAATCCCTGAACGGTCAACGAGCAGATAGTATCGGTCTGGAATTTGCGCAGAGACGTCTGGGGATGAAGTTGGTTGTCGTTTGACGGGCCCGCAAAGCGACACACTTGGTCTTTGCATCTTGGAAGTTGAAGGCTGGCTAGATGGATCACAGGTTTTATGAGTTTTATGTTTACTGTTTGAGTTCTGCTGATCCCACATGTCCAGCAGTATAAACATGAAAAAACATGAGCTCCCGATTGAAAACCAGAACGGCGTTTGTTTTACAAACGGCATATCGTGGTCAATTTCGCACAATTCCCTAAACACCTCTGAGTTTTGGTTGCACATGGCAGCTTTTCTAGAACCAAATTTTGATAAAGAACTATAAATTCAACATGAATTTCGTCTTCACTCAAGACCTCATTTACAGCAGACCCTGTCATCCTTCATTTTTCCTGTTTCTTTTTTGTCCGATTTCCATCTGGGTTTGTCTGAACATGCGATACCCGATTCTTCTAAAGACAACTATTTTTTTAAAAACTTTGTCATGGTAAATTTGCCTATCCACCAATTCTTGGAGAACATTTCCCAGCAAATATCCACATATTTTATGGTTGGTTTTATGGTTCAATCCCCAGATTTTTGGGAAAAAACAAAAGTCTTCCCCATGTGGTTGGTCAATATCCCCATAAAATGGTTTGTTGAATCGCATTAGTGGTATAATATATTATGTCCGACCAATATTATATATGTAACATTATGTTCCATATGTTACTGTAGAAGAGACCTAATAACATTGCAATTTTTTGTGCTTGATCCCACCAACAACCCATCAATAGTCCATATTTTTGTTGGTTAATTTTCAGGAGGAGGACGTCATCGAAGTCTTCGTTGCCTCTCTTATGCCCCCGGACCGAGAGCGAGATCTGCGACCGACCGCGCGCAGCGTGCCGCCGCTGGAGAGGCAGAAACGAAGGCAAGAGGAGCGCTGCAGGAGATATCGGAGGGCTCCCATCTGGGGCTGGAAACATGTGAAAACTGAGAAACCTTTGGCTATAACTTAAAACATGGATATTTATTCATCGGAGGTTCAAAATGTTCAAACAGATCAAGACTTAACGAGCAAACATGGGCAGTTTCGGCTATGAGAAAGTAGCGATGGTAATCCATTTTTTAAGAAGAGTGCCCAAGCCAGGCCCTTGGTGGTTAATGGTACACACAAAGTATGAATTAAATTTTGGTTTAAGCGCAAAACAGCAGACATCATCCACAAAGCTACCTGGTGGGGACCCTTCCGATGGGTTGAAGATGTGGGCTTCTGAAATCATCAAAATAAATCTTGCAAAGGGGATCAATTATCATGAAAATGGATGGCAAGCCATATGAGAAAGATTGGGATTTGATCTGTGGTTCCACAATCAATCCATGAATCCTTCACTAGACATGACAAGTTTTTGCTCCAGATATTCATTGAGCTTGATAGTTTCGAGATGGCATGCTCAAACGTGGAAGATCAGCAACACCAGCTACAACCAACATGATCTACTTTGGTACTGCTATCGCTGAGGTGCAGTGTCAGCTATTATACAAAACCAAAAGAATACACATAAGGTTGGTTTTGGTATCCGCGAACACAGCAGCCACTGATTTCAAATCGTGCTATTTGTGTGTCCTGGGTTGACAGCCAGCAGACAAAGCCTCTGCTGCACTTGCACTTATTCGTTTTTGTTCATGTATTCCTGTATTCCTATGATCGTTACCAAGATTATGAATTTGCCTAATCAGACTCCAACTTGTTACCGAGATTATGCAGCCTGAACAGTGGCCAACTCCAAGCTGAGCCCATGGATTTCCAAGCCGCCCGAGCTCTTCACCGCCGTATCCCAGCACAGAAATGGTGCATCACCAAGGCCGAACTGGAGGAGTTTGCACAGCTGGTGGCAGAGGAACAGATCCCCAGCAGTCGGCCCAACCCCTTTCACTGCGATCCAAAGCATGGCCCCAATCTCTATGATGTGAACACCTACTTGGTGAAGCCCTTGACGCGAAAAGCTGGTGGCCAGAGCTATGCCTTGATGAAACATCCTGAAGGCCTCGAGTGCGAGGTATTTGTATCTCATTCCTGGCATGGGGGAATCTTCCACCTTCAGAAGGGAGTGCGCCTGGCGTGGCCTCAGCTATATCGACTTCAAAACTTGTACTGCTGCCTTTTGTCCAACCCGCAAAATTTAGACCTGGACGAATTTATCGGTGGAAACTTGAGTGAGAGTGCATTTGCTTTAGCATTGCAAAAGGCATCGTACTTGCTAGTAGTTCCAAATCCTTCAATGGGAGTATATTCCAGGCTTTGGTGTGTGTTTGAGGCTTATCTTGGAGCCAAATGGAATAAGATTTACCTGCTGCCGGTTGTTCCCGATCGGCAGGAGACTTGCACATATTGGTTCCAGACCGTTGGCATTCACATGTCTTGTGGAACTTGTCTGGGATTTCCAGTATGGTTAGCTCTCGAACATGTTGCTGGGCGGGGTACTGGCCTTTACAGCTGGCTTGAGTTGATCTACCGAGTGCTTTCCTTGGTGGCACTGTTGATAGTACTGCCCTATCGGCATCACCCCTGGTCTTTAGGGATGATGAGTTATTTGACATCCATCGGAGCTGTTTTCTTGCTGCTGGATGAGATCTGGTCCTATGACCAGATCTCAATGCGATATGACAACTGGATCGCTGTATACTTCCATTACGGTTTTTTTTCGAATCTGCTGATCGTGAATGCCTTGGTCACCGTCTTGCTTGTGATCTTGAAGGGTGAGAAAGCTCATTTTGATCAGCAGAAGGAGATGATGCATTTCCACTCCTTGCAGGATTCACATTGTTCCAGTGCAGCTGATGAAGAGCGAATTCGGCAGGCCATCGCCGGATCTGAGGATGAGGTAGAAACTGTGATCAGCATTTTGTTGGCCGCAGGTGCTTATACTGACAACTTACGACGTGCCTGGGACAATGGCTTGGATGTGGAGCGGGCGGGAATGACCGATGTAAAGTCTGGGGTCTTCTTTTCAATCCTCATTTGGTCAGTTTGTGCTCTGGATCTCTTGTCAGATTGCTTTATTGGTCATGTGACTCATCGCGGACCCTTTGTCCTGCTATGCATCCTGTATGCTCTCACAGTCTTGGTCATCCCCTTCTCGGTATGGAGGTTGGAGAAGCAAGGCCCAGACTTGGCGGTCTTTGCTTTGAAAGCTTGGGGATTTTGGGGCATGTTTTCCTTGCAGCTGCCCATTATGCTGTGCTATCTACAAGGATATGATGAAGCCGAGACTATGCCGCTGTCGGGTTTCTTCAACCAGAGCGAGCTGGAAATCCTGGATACAGCGACTTGGGCCAACTCCCCAGGATTTGACGTTCACAGAGGTCGCATTGTGATTGTCAGTCGCTGTCTTTGCATGATCGTTGCATGGGCGATCATTTGGATCGGCATTGACCGTTGGACTCGTCTTCGAATCTGGCTCACTGACGTATGCAGTCCAGACTCCGAGTGCCAGTATGATCAGGGTGTTACAGACTCCGAGTGTGAGTCGTTGCTGGGGACAGACAGTGAAGATTCTCAAAGCTCTTCCCGCGATGGCTGCTGATCTCATTGTATAGCAGCATAGCGGCTCCAACCGATGCAAAGTGCTTCGTTGCAAAGCAATGGACTTATTCAATGCAAATTGAAATGGTGTGTTCCACATTTGGGCCGAAGATGTTTGAGTTCGCGAGGCTGAAAATCAGGGGGAACACAAAATTGTTCTTGTTCGATCTTTTTGGCCCAGGAGTCTCAGCAGGGAGGTGTCCCACTTGTCGGCGACGCTTCGGAAGCTGCGTCCCGGCGCTCCGAGATTTCAGGCGGTCGGAAATTCGGATAGGATAGAACTAGTTGGCCATAATATGTACAGCTACATATATATATATATATATGTATACACATTTATAATAATAGTAACAATACTATTAATATTAATACGTATATATATATATATAATACGTAGAGATATGAATACGTTTAGATAGAGATATGAATACATTTAGATAGATAGATAGATAGATAGGTAGGTAGGTAGATAGATAGATAGATAGGTAGGTAGATAGATGGACAGACAGACAGACAGAGAGACAGAGAGAGAGAGAGAGAGACAGACAGAGAGGCAGAGAGGCAGATAGACAGATAGACCGATATGATAGACAGACAGATTTGATAGTTTGATAGGTAATGTATGACATTTATCTTATGGACGGTATGTGCGTTTTGGTTTGCTTTTTGGAGATATTTCCTAACTCTACAATGACCCTCAAAGTGCTGGTGGCCAAAAAGCGCACGAAGATACAAATCTGGCCTGTTTTTTTATCGGTTTGGATCTTGCAAAATACAATTTCGGACGCTCCCCTTGATACTTTTTCACCATGGCTCTCCAAATCATGCAAGATCCAATTGGTACAATGTGTCATTTCCAATCATGCACTATTCCTCGTGAAAGAAAGCAATTCCAAGAAGGTTTCCTGTCTAGCCCCACCCCATTTGTAGCGCAGCATCAGTTGCGTGCTGCAAGTGCAAGTGAACAAATTGCCCTACCCCAGCGCGCGGGCGTCTGTAGCGTAGCATCAATGGCGTGGGCAAGTGCAAGTGAACCCTATTGCCCTGCCTACCTCACACGGCCCAACTATATATACCCATTTGTAAACTGTAAACCTTTTTTATTTACAGTAGACTAAATAAATAGATAAATGAATAGATAAATAGATAAATAAACAAATAAAACAACCGTATATAATATGTATATATAATACACATACATACATCTACGTACATATTACATACATGCGATACACACGCGTCATGTCTTGTTTCGGAAACTATGTGGCTTCCATTTCAACATGATTGAAAGCAAGACGGATTGCCTTGGACTGTAACCTGCTGAAACTGCTGTAGAAAGATATTTCGAGCAAAAATGCAAAGAGTTGCAAGAAAAGGACACGGCCGGAAGGCTTTATTTCATTGGGATAGTGTGCTGCTTGCACTTGTGCTTCATTTTTTTTTCCGCAGCTTGGTGGAAGGCCTCCTGACGTCCGGCCTTCCACGTGAGTGAATCGAGCTCCAGGTGGGAAGTGT